CGGCGCTCGGCACGTCGTGGCCGGGCCGGGCCGGGCCGGGCCGGGCCGTGAGTACGCGCCGGCGGCTATTTATTTGCCGGGCCGAGGACAGCAGCCGCCCGCGGGCCCGGTCGGTCCACGCGCTTGTGAATAGGAATGCGAGCCCCCGTGCCATGCACTTTGCTTTGCCCCCGCCCCCGTAGCTGTAGGTCGTCTGCTGGAAACCGAACGGGTCTTCTCGTGTGAACTGCTTAAGTTAAGAGCCCCCCGGGGCCGGCGTAGCGGCGCCGGGGCCGTAAAGAAACCCCTTGTTGCCTCCCTCCCCTGTACAGAGCCAGCATGAGCGGCCCGTGCCCCTGTGCTTGTCCCCAGCATGCGTGTGTTAAGACGAGGGCGAAGGAGAGCAGATGTCCACGTTAAATTATGAACCGAGGCGTCCAGATCCTATTTTCTCATTAAAATCTGTAAATTCCCATTGACTTTCCGGTTCCTCTTTCCGACCCGCTGGGCCACAGCTCCCAGCCAAACGCGTGTCTCCCCCCGCCCCGGCCGCAGCCGCCCGCCTTGCTCCGCGGGGCAAGGAAACCTTCCTGAGCACCCCGCGCAGGCAAGACGGCGGCTGCCTCCCGGGCTCGGGCTCACCTGCAAGTAGGAATCACGGATGATGCCATGTGTACACGTCCCCTGCTAGGACAGGCAGCGACGCGGAGATGCCTAAACTTGCATGTCCCGCATCGCGGATTTTACCGCTCCACGCGCGCACACGCGCTCCGGCTGTGCCCGCACCGTGCGCGCACACGCGCCTTCTCTGGACTAACTAGAAAAACTCACTAAACGTTTGCCAGAGAGCGAGTTGCAGACAAAGATTTTTTAAAAAGGCTTTAGAGGACTAACTGCTACAGACGGGTAAAGGACCTGGATGGGTTTGTTTGGTTTTAAATCAAGGGGCAGGGGAAAAATCTTAACTAGGAAACCCGGCATTCTCCTTCACTCCGAGATCAACCTCTCCGAGCATTTTAATTACTTCAGCTACTTTCCCCCCGAATTGACTAGACTCCTTAAAAGCCCACCCCCGTTTCAACCTAGACCACACAACATTTTACCCCTGTAACTGCACGTCCACAGATGATCATTTTAAACCGGTAAGACCGAGGCAGTTACACCGCAAGCTGGATTTTTAGGCGGTCTCTTTTTCACTTCTAAGGGTTTTGCAAAGACTCCGCCGAGCTCCTGCGGACCCCTCACTCCCACGGAGGAGATAACCTGGTGAAGCGAGAATGCGGGGCTTCCAGATGTGCTTGTTCAAATAAGGAGATACTTAAATTCTTATTAAAAAGCAAACGACGCTGTACGCTACTGAGCCTGCAGGATGCAATCCTGCCATGTACATGACTGCAAAGAGGTGAACTTCGGTACATCTGAACGCGGGTGTAGAGGGTTCAGAAACAGCAAGCACCAGCCCCATCTTAAATACAGGACAGGTGCTTGCAAAAAGTTATAGATTAGTGTTGAGGGTAATCAATCCGGTTGCAACCTTTTTTTTTTAAAGAACAGATCCCACTCACAGAAAAAAAAGGTGGAAAATACATGAATCACTAGAGCTGATTAAAATGCATGAAGCTGCTAAAGCTTGTCAGATGGGGGACAACTGAACTCATTCATCAAGTCCAACCCACGATTATATCAACACGATCAGCTAAAGAAAGCATTCAAAACTTATCGCCAGATCAATGGGCACAAAACTCGACAAACTTTTCCTAAACAAGCGATGACCTACATTTTCATCCGACGAGTTATTTTTCTGTTTGCCTTGGGTGCCCCTTCCTCGCCCCCCTCCCCCAAACCCCAGAGCCAGAACAAATCCCCCAAGATGAGATGAGGAGCCGGGGCTGCACCTCCCCACACTTGCAGGGGGTCTTCTGAACTAAATAGCAATCACTTGAAATTGGGAAAGATCAGGAACAAATCATTCTGCTTAGAAGCGTGGTAACTGCTCCACAGAGAGCCCGACTGTAAAGTAGGAATCGCAGTTTAACCTTGTCGGTAGCACGATTTTCTTCTGGTTTGAAATGCAGCTTGTACAGGGGGAACCCGAGCGCTGTGTGTCCGCACATGCCCGAGCCGGCAGCAGGGCGAGCAGGAGGAGGAGGGCTGGCGAGGGGCTTTTCACGGGACACTTGCAAGGCTCCCCCTGCCCCTCACCTCGGCAAAGCTCAGATGCTGATTTCAGACGCATACAAACAAATAGGCGATTCAAAGCGGCGCTGGAATTTACTGCTTTGTCTTGTTAAAGCTCTAATGGCTCAAGTCCAAAGTCAATAAACAAAGATCTGATATAAACCGGCAAAAAAAGGGGGGGGGGGAATGAAACAGCCACAGGTTACCAAGCTGAAATCGTCTTTGGGTCGAAGTTGTTTTGCAATTATTCTTGCCACTGATGCTTTTTTTTTTTTTTTTTTTTTTTAACTAAGCCGATCTGATGTAAGGGGACAGATAATTTTAGACAGAAAGCTCTTTTCTTTGGAAGAATGTATTCCAGCTCCAGCGATTAAGGTAAGGCAGCAAAGCCAGTCGTGCTTAGCCAAGCCAACAGAACCGAGCCCCGCGCTGAAAGGAGCTGGGCTTCTTCCGACAGCGAAGACTCATTCTTTGTCCCCCACTTTTCCATCCCACTTTTCAAGTCTGGACGCTTTCGCAGTTTGCGGGGAGGACTAATCCTGCCAGGTCCAGAGCAGAGCAGCTCAGAGATCGCTGGGAGGGAATTCTGCACGCAAACCCCTCCTTTTAAAAAGTGTCCCTGAGCGCGGTGTTATCTTTAAATCTTAATATAAATGTCACTTCGCGTTTTCTTTTAAACAACAACAACAACAAAAAACAGGCTGTGAAGCCTTGGAGGGGCTGTATTTGTTTCTTTTAAACTAACAACAAATTATCTAATTAATATGTTTCAATTACAGCATGAAAAAGAGAGGCTTTGGACCGCCTGCAGTGGGTTTACAATAGCCCCAGAGCCCACTATAGGAATGTACAATAACTTCACATCTGTTTCTTTATTTCCCACTTTTCGAGTCTAAAACTCCTCTCGAGATCACTTCAAACCATGGTCCGAGTTATGAAATATGTCCCTCTGCCAGGAAAAAAAAAAGGAAAGGAAGGGGGGGGGAGGGACAAAACTTTGCAGATCGAGCCTTCATTTGCAAGCTAGAAAGTGAAAGCCCCATTGAAGAGCATTAAACAAATATATTAGAATTCTGTCACTTTATGCAATTGAGTAGATCAAATAAAGGGTCCCAGGCCACTTCATTCACTCTCATTCACTTGAATAGAAAATGCAAAGAATAGCAAACCTAGACTGGGCCACCGATGTAGATTTAGCCCTTTTTTTCTGAGAGACAAAAAGGCTGAATTTTCACAAACACATTGCTGACTCGGGGACTAGGAAACCAGCACTGGAACCCCTCGGGAATTTACATTCATTTTATCTTCCTCTCCCTCTCTTTCGGGGTCTGTTTGCACTACAGTGCGAGTTGCATTGGCATTCCCTACTTGAAAAAAAAAAGCTCCGGATTTCCAGGCAGGATTTATCGTGCCGAGCTCTCATACAGTTTTGGAGCTAATACTTGTATTTAAAAAGAGACGGGGGGGGGGAATCAACCCTTGGTCAAAAGCTGATTAAATGTGTTCTGAGAAATGTAGCAGTTTCATTAGGAGCCTGGGCAATATTTTATGTCTGGAGCTCCACATCTGATGACTTTTTTTACTTAGTTGGGGATACTTCTTCTAATATGTGCATCTATATGCACATATGTACAGACTCTGTACATATTCTCCGCTCCATTGGCTAACTTAAGTTTTTAACTTTACTGCTTCTTCATTCATCAACTTTGAGATTTGGACAGTTTTCCTAAAACTGTACAATGCAAAAGAAAACAAGCAAACACGAAATCCTCTGACTTTGGTCTCCCGTAGCTTGGATTTAAAAGTGGGTAGTTCCACTAGCATTAATTACATTACTCCCGATTTACAGCAAGCACCCAAGTTTTAGGTTTTTACCTATTATATTATTCATGTAGCTGCCCTTGCAGGAGCTTGTAAGGGAAAGGATTGTGTTGTTCATGCTTTAAAATCGGAACTGGTCATATACCTGCAACACACTGTGCGAAAATTAAGCAAGGCGGCTAAGGCTTAACTAACTGCAGGTGTGACTTGTTTCAAAAGTAACATCTACATTCAAGTCGTATGACAGGAGGTCTGGTGTTTGGAGATTTTTGGTACTTTCTGAACAGACGTTGGCTTTTGTTTGTTTGCAGTGTATCTTTTGAGAGAATATTTAATTTTAAATACAGGCAAAAGTTGCTTTATTTTATTCTTCCTGAATTGTATTCTACCTTTTCTTATGCAAACGGAGACAGGATCCGACAGAGGTATTTACAATTCTGACAGAAGTTGGGTTTCTCAACAACCATCATGCTATAGTTAAGCACCTCGAGGTTTTTAATTCCAAATGAGGAATCCATGAACTATGAATTCATTAGGGGGGACAAAATGCAGGATACTGTAAAATTATTTCATGCACCTTTCGATTTCCTCAGTCTGCAGAAAAACAAAGACCAACCAACTACATCAGAGAACAGGAAAGCCGCAGTTGCTTTTTTCTCAAAGTAACACTGATTATTAATAAAAATATATTTTACAGTCTAAAAGATTACTAAGGAATGCCAGGCATAGATTATTTGATTCTGCTTCCTGTTTTACAGCACAATTTTATTTTCAATTTATTTTCAACGAAGTGTCTTTTGCCAGGTGCTTTAACAACCATGGAGCATGAACAGGGTTTTGAGTTTAGCTCCCCAACACTTACACCCAAGACCAGATGTTTCTGCTTTGCTGCTCACGCAGCTGGGGAAAAGCATTGGCAGAGAACACACAAGTGTTTAAAAGGTTAACACATATCTCCTTTATCGGCACTGCTAAATAAAGGATCTTAATTTTGTGCCATTTAGAAGAGCCTTGGTATTTATTAAGTGGTAACTAGAGTATTTTGCATTAATTAGAGCAGCTCCTTAGAGAGACATTACAGCCAAGAATAATTTTACACCACAGGAGAACTGTAAGCACTTTAAGTTCCCCCCCCCCCCACAACTGAAATTGCTACAGACAGCAACAAAACACAGGCACCACTGGGCTTATTTGTAAATATTAATTTATAAGCTTTTTTCAAGCATGCAATCAGAAACAATCACACTTATGCCTTGCATTTGGCTGCACGGGAAGCTGATGGGTGCCCAAATAAGGAAGGATCAGGATCATGTTTTGGGTTCACTCTTGCTCCCAGTGATGATATGGCAAACTCCCAACAACATCAATGTCATCACATTCCTTGACACTCCTCATTTTCAAATTAGGATGATAAATCTAGAGCCTATCACAACATTAACCCAGGAACTCCAGACAATATGATGTCACTTGATTCCTACAACCGTTCCCACTGGCAGCTGTAGGATTACTTGTGCAAGTTTATAAGGCTTTGGCTCTTCTGCCATAATCTGGATATTAAGCAGCCCACAGCAGTAGGCAATTTTTTGGCAAAATGTCACTGCAGCTCTGATTAACTTGATACAGATAAATTTTCGACTCGGGGAAAAATAGGATGAATGCCAAGATTTTGGGCAAGATCCCTTCCTAGTACAAAGGGACAGAAAAGGCTGAAGAGACTCAAAATAATCAACTTCCTATAAATTAATCCATATGTTACCCCTCAGATCAGGACAAACGTGGATACAGCATTAGACATGATGTGAAGAACCCAAATATTACACAGACAGTCAATTCTGTAGCAGGGCACTGTGGTAAATGGAAACAATCAGGGAGCTTTTCAGAGAGGGGAAGGCCATCCACCAAGGGTGCTTGTATGCTCCCACAGCTGCTATCTTTTACCAGATCTTTCTGTCAGTGCCTAATCAATTCTGGGCAGTATAATATTACCTCATAGTAAATTATGGTTTGGTTTGGCGTGACTTCTTCCACATTTCTCCCTTTCCTGTTCTTTGCATTTCTATTATGGAAGTTCCTCTTGGAGACCCACTCCATCTACACAAAAAGCCTGAATAATGCAACTATGCCATGGACTCTTGAGGAGTGAAGAAATGAAATGAAATGACAAATTCCATGCTATGGCCAGTAAGCAAAACTATTGCCTAGACCCTTGCACATGTTTTTCTGCCTTATAGGTTGGAAGTTGAAGCTGGAGTTCCTCCATGGCCATTATGCAGTGTTGGAAGCATTGGATCAGCATAAACATGCATGGTTCTTCCCCATGTATTTGACTATCTTTGGCTCTTACACAATAGTATTTAGAGTAGTCCTAAAGCTTCTATGATGTCAAGTGGGGAGATGGGACCTACACAGAACTGCAGAAGGACTTTCTTTGGGGAATGGATATATATATATATATATATATATATATATATATATATATATATATATATATATATATATATATATATATATATATATATATATATATATATATATATATATATATATATATATATATATATATATATATATATATATATATATATGGAATAGTGATGCCTCCTGTGTAGGGGATTTTATTTTACTTCATTTTCTAGTTTGTTAATGGGTGTCTGCTGTGCTGCTGTGGAAAGTGGAATTTTAAACAGTTGTAAAATGTGATAGGCACATCTTTGTGTTACACATTTACCTGAAGTAAACATACAAATATAATATTATTCAGCTTCACGTTGAAGGCAATTTCATGGCTCTTCCCCACATTCCACGCAGCAGTATGAACCTGAGGCTCATCTGGATCTAGCTGGGCAGAGAAACAATGGAAGTCTGTCAGAAACGTAAAGACGTTCCATGCCAAAATCCAAGGCAAAGCACAGTGATTATCATACACCATGCGACTGACCTCTACTGCCATTAGACTACAGGACAGAGAGGTGAAAATAATAAATAAATATATAAAACTTAGTCGTGCCACTCATTGCAAGTTCAATGTCTTTTTTTTTTTTTAAAATGTGACATTTTCTGTCATTCAGGACTTGATAGACCTGACCCTTTGTAGGCCAATCTTCTGTCCTATATAGTGATGGGTATGATATAATTAAAAGGAAAGTGGAAAAAACCTGTGATAAACAATTACATAAGGGAGGAAAGGCATCATCTGCTGTTACCCATTTTATCACTGCAGAGTTTTCCATTAAGCAATATGGCATTATATATGCTGCCATGGTTCCAATGCCTGTTGGGACTAAGTTTTATAATTAAAGTAATAAGAGAACTTTGGACACCTATTTACTGGGAAAGCTCCATTCAATAGATAGGGACTTCTGAGATGAAATGCTGGCCTTACTGAAGTCACCTAAAATTTTTCCATCCCTATTAATAGTGCCAGGATTCCATTGCCAGAACCTGCCCAGCATGTTTAAGTGGCACTTTAAATACCGTGGCTACATACATATCTTTCCATTAGCTCAGGAGTTATGGTCCTAGATATGCAGGAGTAGTTGCCACACACAGCATACCTGGAGGTTCTTTCAGTACTTACATACCACAGTGATGATGAGTGGCATGGAAGTGTCTACAAATAATTAACATTACATTTAGCCTCCATGAGGTTCTACATTTTCTTTACAATTTATACACTCTGTCAAGCTTCTTAGACAAGCATTAATAAGAGTTGCAATTATGTAAAGTAACATGTGGGCAACATAATCAAGTATTCCAGGGTGTCAGCCTCAGTGGTCAGGTCAGGTCAGGTCAGGAAGGAGTTTTCCTCCATTGCATATCAGGACAGGTACATTACTGTTCTAGTTGTCTTCCTCTAAAGCATCCTCTATTAGCCAAAGCTGAAATCTAGGTCAACAAATAGTCTGATCCTGTACATCAAATTCAGCATTTCTATTTGTTATTCAAACATTTAAGTTTGAATCCCAGGAAAAGTAAGGGGACAGGGATTCATTGCTAGGACTGCAAGGCTGTTTTTCAAGAGCTGTGAGAGTTGCAGATGTGCCAACCCCACATGTTTAAGAGAGACTGGCCTCCAAAACATTTTCAGATAAAAAAGTCATGAGGTTTCAGAATAAATAAAAGCATATAGCTTGTGTTCTTTGAATATTCCATCCAAGTGGTGAGTCTTTAGGATGTCAGTGGTCACATTTTCAAACATTTCTCTGCAACACTCAGAAGAGAAGCTCAAAACACAGTGGGTTTCTGAACAGTGAAAATGGAGATTCTCATTTAATTATGTGTCAGTAATGGAGAAAGCTTGGGCAAAATGAAGGACAGTTGGCAGGCTGATTTTCTCTTGCAATCAATGCCTAGTGAGCACAAAAATGAACAGGCCACAGATAAGTTCCTGCAGCGGAGGTTGGTTAATGTCATGAAACCTAATAGGTCTACGTGAGAAAGTTTTGATAGTGTAGAAATGTTGGTTAGGGGTGTGATTTCCTACCACCACTCCCCATTTCTATACTAGAAAAAGCTTTACTGTAGCCATAGTTACACATTGGCATAAACATGCTTTTGGTAGGATAGGCAGACAAGGTTCTAGCTCATTTTGCCTGGAGAACTGGTATCAGCTATGCCAGCAGAGACAATCCGGCAGTATAAGCTACCTAGTACAAACTGTGGTAAGCAAGTATAGTTATAGAGGGATAAATATGCTGATAAATCTTTTCTAGTCCAGACCTGGCGATTGCAGCAGGAATTACTTGGGTATGGTGAAGACACCCATTTCCAGATTCCATCAGTATCAGCAGCCTAGTGGAGTGATCCCAGCGTAGTGTTACTCCACATGTTCTGAAACAGATACAGCAAGAGACATGAAGTCTCCAGATGATAGAAAACAGGCTTAAGTGGCAGAGTAGCACAAGCCTACTGCAATTATTGTTCTGTTGGCTGAAGGTGGGCAAGGCCAGGCCATACAAGAAATGAAATGGTTCACTACATCTTGTGGGCAGCATCCCATAGAAGCCAAAGTGAAACAAAGGGAGGAGAGGGAGAGCTTGCCTCCCCAGAAAGGGCAGGTAACTTATCAGTATCTGCTGTCTGAGGTCCCAGCTACAATTACATATATTATGCAATTAACTGGTTAATATCACAATAAATTTAGACCAGCTACACTTCCAAAGTAAGACCAGCCACAAATGCAGAGTAATTATCACACAATTAACTGGTTAATCAGGCAATAAATTTAAACCAGCCACACAGTAATTATCACACAATAAAAATGACTATAAAAAGTGCCAACAAGCTATAAAGTTAGTGCTTGAAAATGTGCAACAACTCTATAGCTGGTTTCTATCCAGCTTTAATTTGAATATGTAGCAGGGCCCCAAGTGACTCCCTCCAATGGTACTCCATCATGCTGTACTTTACACCTGTTAAGCTGGGGAAAGGTCAGGCTGCACTGCCTGGAAGTTGTTTTAGATTACAGATCCTATTACTACAGTGAGTTCAGATTCTGCCATTTTGTCCAGGTATTTTCTTCTCATCAACCTGCATTGCCATTGCCCAGCTTTTGAAGAATCTGGGTTTTTTTTAAACAAGAAAATAAAATATCACCCTTTTCCAGCATGTTACTATGTCCACCAGGCTGACATTAATCTAAAACAGTTTCATGAATTGGGGGCTGGCCTGTTTTAAAGTCATTAGAGGTTTCACTATCTGACTGTTCAAAGGGAGGGACTATTGCAAAGCAAATCTAGTTCTGCCTATGGCAGGGAAATTCTGTCAAACTGTGGTCACCTTTCTGCCCCTGTGCTTCATGTGTCTAAGTTGCACAGCACAGAATAATGTTTCCTTCCTTATAAATTATAAAATATATGTCCAAAGTGAACAAAAGCTTTGTCAGAGCTCACAGGCTGACTGATTTCTCAGATCAGACACCTACCCCAAAATGTGATTCAGGAAAAACACAGGGGGCACACACAGCTCCTGATCCACATGTTATATTCCCAGTGGATCAAGAGCCATATGTGGACCTTAAAGTGCTGCTCTTTTCTTGTGCTCAAAATACTAGAAGTGTCTCTGAGGTTCTGTTCTTCCCCGGGGCTTTTTCCCCCCCGTCAGATCCTATAAATCTGCCAGAAAACAAGTGCTGCTCTGCCACAGTCAGACTTGGATCTTAACTTTTTAAATAAAGAAACACCATTTCGAGGGGAAGCCTTGGGTTCTAGCGCTGCCCTCCTTTGCTGGTAAGGAGGAATCAATGGGCATGTCCAGATTACTGTGCATGTGCAGGGGCATGCATTTGCCATGGCACAAATAGCAGCAGCACATTTGTGCCACAGGGCATGCCCCTGCACATGCACTCCAGCCCATGACAAATTATTCCAGGTGGAGTAGGGAAGGCCGGGGCCATGCTAGCACCTGTGCTGGCCCCAGCAGCCTTACCTGAGGTTCTGGGGGCCTTCTGGGGAAATAACAGCGCCAATCCAGCCCCAGGGAGCCTGGCTGGCAGCCAGAGCAT